GGGAAGTGCCTAGGCCCGGGCTGGGACGAGCGCGGCAACGCTGAGTCTGGAGCGGGTGAGAAGGAGTTAGGAGCCTTTTGGCACTCCCGTCCTTGCCGCCCCCGAGGCTGTGCGTACTCAGGGATGCTCCTGGGCCTGCACTGGTGGCAGCCGCTCTAGGCCTTCTTGGGAAGTGGCGCGCTCCTGTAGGGAACAGAACCTGCTGGAGGCTGCCTAAAGGTTCCTCTTTTGGCGCTGTCGTGCCGGGATGTCGCTTCAAGGGTGTGCGGGTCAGATCGCAGAGGGCCGTGCGTGTGCCTGGGTGCTGCAACCCGCGTGTAATGCTGAGCGTTTCTATTGCTTCAGGCTGCTGGGCAGACCCTGATCGCAAGGCTGTTTGCTCCCTGCACCCTGGGCATCAGCTCAAGCTGTTATCTGCTGGACTCTCTTGTTTGTGTCTGTGTAGGTGATTCTTATTGAGAATTTTCTTGTTTACTTGCTGGCCCTGTGAAATCTGGCAGTGCAAAAGGCCTCGTTTTTTGTTATTTGTTTCTGTTCTGTCATCCCTAATGACAAACAGCAAGTACAGTTTGTGTATTCTTATTCTGGTATAGTTTGCTGGAAGGCAGCCTCCACTAAATTCTTGATGGCATTATAAGCCATATTCATGCTGCATCCTACCGTGAAAGCAGTATCTCTGAAATTTTATTTCTTCTGCTCTCTGCTTAATTGTCTAAATTGTCTGCTGTCCAAAAGTTTGACATTAAAATTGCATGCTGTCCAACAGCGAATTTACCTGGTTCTTGACAAATCTACAGAAGGAATGACCAGATCTTACATACATTTTAAAGCACCTAATTTCTGCTGTGTTTATTGTGTGCCTTTGCAGTGTTCAGGATAATCTCTGCTTACCCGATCTTAAACCATTTGTTCCGTTCCCTTTCTGCTCAGGTTGTGTAATCTCCTGCTTACAGTGATGAGCCATCTATAAGAATATTCTATGTTCAACCTTCTCCTCCAGCTTGCTGCCTGATGGTGGTCAAGTCATGTTATAGCTAAGTCTTAGTCTCCCTTTGTAAAGGACATATACACACTTTCCTTATTATTATGTACTTTGTGGGTCCCAGCTTGTGATGCAAATTATCTACTCTGCAAATATCTCTCCTGTCCTGCTTACACAGGGTGTGGGTAGAAGAGGTACAGTATGATTTTTCAGTAGCATTGCCAACCTCATTAAATGCTTTCGATTTTATTTTCCTTTTGTGTTTCTAGCTTTGTAGCAATTGCTGAGAATGTGTGCTCTGTGGGAGGCCTGTGATGATTTGTTGCACTCTTTATATTGTCTCTTTTGTTTTTTTCAGGATTTATTCCTCTCCCTTTCAATGGAGAGTGACAGTATAGATCAATAATGAGGACCAGCCCTCGCAGGCCTTTAATTCTCAAAAGACGGAAACTGACCCTCCCACAGAAGGTTGAATCCAGTACTGCAGCAAGAGATGAGAACAGCAGTCAGGATGAAAAGACTCCTAAGCAGGAGCACAGCCAGGAGGATCAACACAACAGACAGCCCAGAGACAAAAGGGACTGTGGCCTGCAGAAATTCCCAACGGGAATAAAGATAATTGACCATCCTACCATGCCCAACACACAAGTGGTAGCCATCCCTGCAAACGCTGATATCCAGAGCATCATCGAGGCACTGACGGCAAAAGGCAAAGAATGTGGCAACAATGGGCCCAACAAGTTCATTCTCATTAGCAGTGGGGGCACGTCCCGTTCAAACTCCTATCAGAGAAGAAAGCCAGTGCAGCAACCAAGCCTGCAGATGGTCAAGAAACAGAGAAGAATGTTACACAGACACCTGTTCTCACAGGCAGGACAACACTCTGGCATTCGGGAGTGGATTCTGTCATTGAACAGGAACAGGAGAACAGCAGTATGTAGTCTTAACCACTTTTTTTTTTTCTGTCCTGATAGGCAGAGATGTGAAGTGGGCAGTGGATGTACTGCTTGGATCGTGGGATGCAGCAATATTTGGTGAATTACAAAACAGATATAGATTTGATTCTAACGATTTATGTAGCTTTGCATATATAGTGACATCTGAAGGACACACAGTGTGTGCTAGAGAACACAGGTCTTGTGCTAGATCTTTCAGTTGGAGTTTGTCATCACCATCCTTGGCCTGTGCTTACTAAATTCATCCTTTAGCTAAAGACAATTGAATTCTTGAAGTACTAGATCAACACTGTCCTATTTTGATTGAGAGCGATAGTCTCGTTTGAATGTTTGGTTTTAAGGCTGCAGCTCTTTCCAGACATTGGATAACTTCACGTGATATCAGTAATTTAAGGCTGAATTTCTTCCACAACATTAGCATCTTTTAGAAGTGTGACTAGTACCTTCCTTTCAGCAGTTGAGATGAAGTGGTAAGAAGGTTATTTGTGAGTAAGCATAACTATGATGAGGGAAATGTTGTGGATGTTTTCTACCTGGACTTCATTGAAGTCTTTGACACCATTTCTCACAGCATTCTCCTGGAAAATCTGGCAGTCCATGGCTTGGACAGGTGCACTCTTCAGTGAGTTTAAAATCTGGCTGGATGGCCGGGCCCAGAGGGTGGTGGTGAGTGGTGCTACATCGAGTTGTTGGCCAGTCACTAATGGTGTTCCCCAGAGCTCAGTACTGAGGCCAGTGCCTTTTAATATCTCTGTTGATGATCTGGACAAGGGGATCAAGCCCACCCTCAATAAGTTTGTGGGTGACACTAAATTGGGCAGGAGTGTTGATCTGCTGGAGGGCAGGAAGGCTCTGCAGAGGAATCTGGACAAGCTGGATCGATGGGCTGAGGCTAATGGTGTGAGTTTCAATAAGGCCAAGTACCAGGATTTGCATGTCAGTCACCAGAACTCCATGAAGTGATACAGGCTTGGGGCAGAATGGCAGGAAAGCAGTGGTGAAGGGCGTGGGGGTGCTGGTTGACAGCGGTTGAACATGAGCCAGCAGTGTGCCTGAGTGGCCAAGAAGGCCAATGGCATCCTGGCCTGGCCTAGCAGTAGTGTGGCCAGCAGGACCAGGGCAGTGATCATCCCTCTATACTTGGCACTGGTGAGGTCACACCTCAAATCCTGTGTTCAGTTTTGGTCCCCTTCCTACAAGAAAGACATTGAGGTGCTGGAGCATGCCCAGAGAAGGGCAATGAAGCTGGTGAAGGGTCTAGAGTAAATCCTGTGAGGAGTGACTGAGAGAGCTGGGAAGTGTTTAGCCTGCAGAAGAGGAGGCTCAGGGGAGACCTTACCACTTTCTACAACTACTTGAAAGGAGGTTGTAGCAAGGTGGAAGTCGGCCTCTTCTCCCAGGCAACTAGTGACAGGTCAAGAGGACATAGCCTCAAGCTGCACCAGGGGAGGTTCAGGTTGGACATCAGGAAGAATTTCTTCCTTGAAGGGGTTGTCAAGCATTACAATGGACTGGCCAGGGAAGTAGTAGAGTCTCCATCCCTGGAGGTGTGCAAGAAATAACTGGATGTGGCACTTAGTGCCATGGTCTAGTTGACAAGGTGTTCAGTCTAAGGTTGGACTCGATGATCTTGGAGGTCTTTTTCAGCCTAAATAATGCTGTGATATGGGCTCATTATCCCAACAGGCAGTGGTGAGACAATGAGCTCTGCATTGGACAATAGTCTCACTAACATCCAGTGGCTGGGGAAGATGAGATCTGATGGGCTAAATCCCTGTTCTGTGAAGCAAGACACAGAGAAAGAGAACCAGATGCCTCTGCAGGAAAGAATCAAGGTAAGTAGGAGAAGACAAGAGCATGTGCTAAAACTTCTGATAAGGAAGTAATCTATGTGGATCAGAAGACTGGTTAAAAACTAGGCATCAGTGTCCCTAAGTAACTTGTTTGTCTTTACTGATTTGAGTGCAGAACCTGGAGGATCCAGGGATGTTGCATGGCCATTCTTGTCAACTTTGTGAGTGCTCATGTATCATTCCTTTTGCCTCTCAGACTGAAGAAGAGTCGTCTGCTGCTGCTATTCCTACTGCAGCTGCCTCCTCTTCATGGCAGGATTCAGTGTCAGAACGACCTCCTTACTCCTACATGGCCATGATCCAGTTTGCCATCAACAGTACTGAGAAGAAGCGTATGACTCTGAAGGACATCTACACCTGGATTGAGGATCATTTCCCTTATTTTAAACATGTAGCTAAGCCAGGTTGGAAGGTAACAAGCAGGCCCTGAAGTTGCAGCGGGCCACAGGGTGATGTTATAAGCCTTCTGGATGAAAATGAAAAGTTGTTCCCCAGCTTGCAGAGCAAGACGGAAATTGATTTAAACACCCCACCCTAAATACCCTCTCACTCCAGATGTTTGGTGTTCCACTTGTCTCATTCCATTTAGGCAAGATGATGGGATGTTTGATCGCTGAAGAAAGAATAGGAATCTCAAGAGTAAATAGAATAATATAGACTGATGACAGGGTTGGCCGGGTATGCTGAGAATATGAAGGTTCAGTGTTGTCTCCACTTTGGAATGTAATCCCTCTACCAGGGCAGTCAGGTTTGAGGTAGGCCTTGCTGTGCTGGTAACAACTACTGCTTTTCAACCTTCCCCTCACTCCTTTCTCCCCAGAACTCCATTCGGCACAACCTGTCCCTTCATGATATGTTTATCCGTGAGACATCTGCTAATGGTAAAATCTCGTTCTGGACTATTCACCCCGATGCAGATCGTTGCCTAACGTTGGACCAGGTATTTAAGGTGAGTGCCACCTGCAAAGAAAATTGGACGGGCTATCCAGTTCCTAAATGCCACACTAGCCAGAAGCATCTTATTTTAACAGTAAAATTAAGCTGCTTTGACATCAGCCTTTTTGTAGAATCTGGATTCAGTCATTTCTCTTGCCAAACAGACAAGCTCTGCATTGGCAAGAAAAGGTGCCGAGGCTGTGCATATGTCCTAGAACTTCTGTGGAATGTGTTTATTCTCCAAGTACTGTGCCAAATGTAATAGTCAGCTTCCTAATGAGAAGGAATTCTCAAAATTCCTAATGAGAAGCTTTCTGCTGAAGTCAGCCAGGTGTTCCTATGCCTTTTGATAAGCCAGTCATTGGATGGAATTGTCCTATCCCAGCTAGGTATTTTAGGAAGTACCATTTTGTGGGGAAAATAGAGCTTGTGAGTCTGGTATAGGTATGTTTAGACTCTTCTGTGTTTTCTGCAGTGGGTGTGCAGATTGCCTTGTGTTTGTTCACATTGTACAGATTTAAAACATCCCATTTGTTTCCCTCTTTGGTTGATAACTTCATCTTATTTTTTTTCCCTCTCAATGCCTTCTGCCACCAGCCACTGGACGTGGGGTCAGCAACATCGCCTGAGTGCTCTGAATCAGTAAGAATTACCCTCTGGCTCGGGGCTTGACCTTCCATTCTTTTCTTGCCAGTCACTGAAGGAAAGGACAAGAGGCTTGGGGAGGGGCACTGCTGTGCCTAGTCATACAGCTCCATGCACTCCCTTTTTGGGGAAGGGAGTTAAGCCAAAGCATAACTGCTTTTGGTTGATGTGCTCTGTAGCTGGTAGGGCTGTACAACTTTGAGCACCTTGGAAGTCTACTGCTGAAGTAGGTTCCAATGGCCTCCAACAGGCTTCAGAGAACAAGCCCAAACAGATTTCTGGTAAAATCATCATCTCCATGGCAGCACTCCCAATCTGTTCTGGAGCTCAGATCCAGAGAGGATAGGATCTCTCTGTGCTTCTTTTTCGTTTTGGAACCCACCTGCATTGTGAATCTCAGAAGGATTAGGAACCTGTTTGCTGTCACTCTTGCATTCAGCAGTTTTAACAGTGACAGATCTGCAAGCATCCAGTCAAATGCTTTTCTGTCACAGCCACAATCCTGGCTGCCTTCCCATCTGCTTAGAATTCTGATTCCCTGTTGCCTCTGCTATTCCATTTGAACATCTATTTGGTCTATGGTTTGTATAGAGACCCAATGTACAATAAAGCTGCCCTATTCACTGTTCCTCAGGCATTGAAACCAGGTCAGTTCTGCAAGTAGAGTCCACAGCTGGAACAGCTCTGTCATGTTATCTCTTTTTCTACACAGCTTTTGGTTGGCAGCTGGCTTTGGGATGGCATGGCTGCAAAACAGCAAATGGCACAGAGCTAGATCCAGCATGAGTGCTGGGTGCTTAACAGCTGCTCTCTCTGTATTAATGCAGCACAGACTTCTGGTTTCACAGTTCTGAGTGAGGCAGCAGAATAAACATGGATTCTTCTCTTTTAATATCTTTCTTTTCTCCTTCTCCTCTTACTTATTTCACAATGACTGCAACAGCCAAAGAATCATCTTCCAGATCACCCAAAGAATATGGGAAGCAAAACTGAACCCCCACATTCACGTAAGTGTCTGCATCAACCTAGGCCAAAGAGAATCAGCCTAATAAATCTGGGTCACTCTCACAGATTCCTTTAGGAATGCACGTGGTATTTGTTATCCGGGTTTGCCAGCTTTTATGCTCCCTACTGTCAGGTTTGAAATTGAAGGCAGTATTGCTGTGTCTGAGCGAGGATGTGATGGGGAGATGGTGGGGATTGGGTATTCAGATGGAGTGAGAGAACTCCAGCTTCAGTGCTAGGATTTGTATGAAGGATTATTTTCTTGGTTTTGAGGCCTTCTGGCTTGGTATTTATATCCTCAAAATTAGAAGAGAAGGCAGATGAGCCTATCTCTGATAGAATGTTTATTTTGGGGTGTTTAAAAGGCCTTTCAGTTAGATGCCTGGCTCTCAAGAGGTAGAGGAAGGGCAAGGGGCTAGTGAGTCCATTCTTCTCCCTTCCAGGCCGGAAGATGAAGCCTTTGCTTCCTCGCATCAACTCCTACCTGGTTCCGATCCAATTTCCTTTGAGTCAGCCTCTTGTCTTGCAGCCTTCTATAAAGGTTCCTGTATCCGTGGCACAGGGAGCATCCCTTAACAGCTCAGAGACTTTGCAGAGCAATAAGCGAGTGCGCATCACTCCAAAGGTTGGTTTCTTGTTTTCCAAGGGGTTTGTGTGGTTCTCCTTTTTTTGGTGGTTTGGGATTTTTTTTGGGGGGGGTGTTGGTTTTTTTGTTGGGGATGAATGGGGGGGGAGTGTTCAGATTTTTTTAGGGTTTTTTGTTGGTTTTTTTGGGGGGGTTGTTTGGTTTTTTTCTCTAGCTCTTGCCTTCTATGAACCTGTTCTTCATATGGTTCTTTTGTGCATCTCTACTAGATGCTCTGAAACTCCAAGCTCATATTAAGGAACTAGCCAGTGATAATCCTCCCTATCTTTTACTGTCTCTAGGATGACTATTACCTGCTAGTTGCCTTGCTATAAGGATGTTACTATAGTTCACTAGAGGAGGGGACTCTGTGGATTTGTCAAGACAATTTTTCTTTACTGCTTGAATGTGAAGAAAAAAACCACCTTTGTTTTGCCCCTAAAACATTCATATTTTTGGTAAATTTAGAGACATGTAACATGGGGAACTTCTGAAATAGTATTTATTTCATGTAGTCTCTTCCCGGAAGTTTTCAGTATCTGCTGTTTGCTAATTCTGTGGAATTTTCAGTATCTGCTGTTTGCTAATTCTGTGGAATTTCCAGTTATTCTGGGCTCGAGAAAAACAGCTATTAAAACAGGTCTTTCTCTTGACATCTCACTGACTACTCTTGTATGCTCAGACATTGTAAAGCTTTAGCTTTTTCCATCCTGTCTAACCATAATCTTATTTTCCTTTGCGTGCCTGCTGCTTTATGTTCTCTCCTGCTATGATTTATCTTTCTCCTGTTCTCTTTTTCTTTTTTTTTCCTTGGTTTCTGGGGAAGCTGTCCTCATTTATTTTGTTATTTCACATGTAGATAGTGTGAGAAGGAATCAAAAGGGTGATACTTTTCCAGAAATATTCAGTTCTTCTGCCTGTATTCCAAGAAGTTCCTCATATCAGAAGTGATCTGAAGGGCATGACTTTCAGTGACTTAGCTAAAATCCTTCCCATGTGATCTGTAGGCTTCTTTCTATCCACTTCACAGGGATCAATTGCTATCTGTTATCGTTACTGCTTTCTGAAGGTCTTTCTCTTACCTTTTCTGATGACCTTAAGTGTCAATCTTTCTTTTCTTCTTTCCACTATTATTTGGATTTGGGGTGGGTTGCATCCTTGCTTACTGACTACATGTCATTTGTGTTTCTTTGTAGATGACACTGTCTACAGAAGAGTCACCCTCTTTATCCATGGCTACTGTCAAGGAGGAGGAGGGTCAATATGATGAAGGTTTATTTTCCCCAACCCATTCCCTAAAGGAGAACAGTTCCCAGCATGGTGAGGAATTGGCTGCTTTTCCTGAGGGAGTCTGTGTAAAGGAGGAAGAAGACTCTCAGCTGGATGATTGGCTGCCCCCATTTGGCGCAACTGTAACGGTAAAGGAAGAGCCAGGTTTGTTCCTCCCAGACTCATCCGCAAAGGCAAGGAAACAATTCACCACACTGAAGTCACCATCTAAGGCTGTTTCTGACTCATTAGTTATAAAGAGGCGCGAAAGGCGGGAAGTGGGCAGATCCAGAAGGAAACAACACCTAGCACTGCCTCGCTCAGAAGAGCCTGTCCTAGTTTTGCCAGAAAGCAACAGCTTTGACCCTTTCCAGTTAGGGGCAGACCATTCCTCCCTGCAGGAAAGCCAACTGCTTGAGAATGTATCCGAGCTCAGCTGCTCACAGGGAGAAGAGGGAGCCTTTAAAACACCAGTCAAGGAGATGTTCAGCAAATTGCCGGATTCTTCCACTCCTAGCAAAGTCTCGGACACTACTATCCCCTTGCCAGAGGGCCTTGACCCCTGGAAGTCTGCATCCTTAGCCAAGGGAAGTCATGAGCTGGACTTCAGTCCAGTGAAAACCCTTCAGTTACCATTCACAGCCCTACAGGACAACCAGGACTTGCTGGGTTTTAACAGCACACCTCTTAAAAATCCCCTCTTTGAGTCCCCTCGGGAGCTGCTCAATACAGAATCCAGTGATATGGTGCATTGTCCCCTCACAAGCTCTCCAGGATTTTTTCATGAGTCTACTAAGCAATCATCTGTTGAACTGACAGCTTCTGGCTTTACTGAAAACCGGTCGCTCATGGAGGGGCTTATCCTGGACACCATGAATGACAGCCTGAGCAAAATTTTTCTGGATATCAGCTTTCCTGGTCTTGAGGATGAAAATTTAGGAACGGACATTAGTTGGTCTCAGCTCATGCCCGAACTGAAGTAAACAGGCCTGAGGACTGAATTTGGATTGTTCTGATCTGACAGAAAGCATTCTTCTCTTCTGAGATCCATTCATGTAGTCTTAGACGACTGCTTTTGACTAATTCCCACATCCATGGGAACACAGGGCGTTACTGACTCCTGCTAAGCTGGGAGACAGGCCCATCAGCTGCTATGAGCTTCCTTTATAAGATGCAATAAACTTTATGTGGAACAAGATAGAACTTCTCCAACCTTGTGCTAGACATAAGAGTCCCTGGAGAGAGGTTTTCAAGACAACACCTAGGTAGGCCCTGAATGGCATTTGCTACTCAAGGTATCAGAGGAAATGAACATACTCCTCAGTACAGTAGGAAAGAGAATGGGAACCTCTAGCTCTGTCCTAACTTCCCTTTACTTTGTTCCGTTTTTACTTAGTATCTTCTGTGTAGTTGTAATGGCTGTAAATACTGTACATTCCTTAAATTCACCCTTAATTATAACAATAATTTTATTATTTTAGGGTTATGGGAATATTTGGCCTGGTAGGGGTTTGACCTCGAGTGTTGTCCATATGTTCCACATCTCATGTATTCTGCTCTAGATGAGAGCCCAAAGTACTTTCTTTCTTCTTGAGTTCAGAAACGCATTGGTCTAGGTTGTTCTGAAGGTTGCTGTGGCAAAGGTCTGAAACATCACCTATATGTGATCCCAGTCATCTGGATTGCAGCATAAAATCTTGGTTTGGTTTCTTTTTCCCAGGCTGGAATTGAGAAGAGCTTGAGTCAAGCTGTAGAGCTCTTCTGTTTCCACAGTCCTGTTAAGTACCTAGAGGACTAGGTAGAGACACTGCTGCAGTAAGAGAGACCTCTGTTGAATGGTTAAACCTTCCCTCATTACAGTCAGCGGTTGAAAACATTAAAAAGAACCTATAAAGTCAATGCTGATATTTCTACTGAAAAGTAACCTCTGGAAATGCTAGGTATGTATCTCTTGTTGCAATAGCACAACTCATCCCAGTTCTCTAGAACTTATATCAAAGGAGGAAATTGCCATGGAAAAAATCTGATCCTTCTGCTTACAGACGAATGGTGATTCCTGCATCTACATGCTCAATAAAGCTTCTGTGGGAACACAGCTGAGTATTGTGTATGATTCTTAGCAGTGTGCTCCGATGGGGCCATGGACACCCTAATGTGTGTATGTTTTGTGATCACGGGTTAAGTGATCATTAGGACATTTCCAGTATTCCTCAGGCCATGTTGTTTGGTTACTCAACCCATCGCTTCATAAAATACACTTTTTCCTGCCGTTCCTGGGTAAATTCTGACTTTATAAGTCAGAAATATACCATCTTAGTCTAAAGCATCAGATCAGTTCCTGTATCTTGTAAAGGCAAAGCAAGTCTATTTCTACCTTCCCCACAAACATTATTTCTGGTTTGCTGGGGAGGAATATTGGACTCCTTGGTACACATTTCTATCTGCCTAGCACAAATGACTGCTCAACTTGGGCACTGAAAAATGTCTCGGCTGCCAATTGAACTTCAGTTTATAAGCCTGAACTCTTTTTGTCAGTGATTAGAAGCTGAAGTTCCATCACTTCTGAATGAGTCTCAGGGTTTCCTTGCCTTTAAACAGGAAATAAGAAAGGACTTCAGAGTCCTTTAGGACTAAGAACTGTTTGGTGCCAGTAGCTTCTAAAGCATGTTTTGTCTAGGATCATTTTGCCAATACTGCCTGTGAGTGCAGGAGGTCTCAATTTTTTCTCTGCAAATGTCCTCTAGTAAGGAGTTTGTGTACTGTAGCCTGGATTGAAATAGTCATTCTCTGATCAGGAAATCCTAACAAACCGCTGTGAAAACTGATCAAAGCTACACAGCACATCTGCCTTAACAGGGGAGAGCTGAGGGGAAAGCAATAAACTTACCTCTAGGCACAGGGAGAGGAAAAGACACAGACAGATTGCAAGATTGTGCTTATGAGGCTGCAGAAGAAACATGGTTTGTGGCACACTTTCTGCTAGTACATCTTACGCAACTGCCAACACTCTACTTGGCTTTCTCAAGGCATCCTGTTTCCCTTTCATCTCACTTCTTGCTCCTGAGGGGATGCAACTGACATCCGAGAGCCAGGTAACAAAGGATCATGTCTCTAGCAAATAATGAAATGTTCTTGTTCTTGGTGTCAGTTCCAGGCAGGTGATCCCTTGCTGTCCCTGTGAGTCAAAGTGCTTTGATGGCCACCTCACATTATATTTTGAATATAGTAATGCCAAAGTCCATTTTCCCCTCCGGCTAAGTATTCCAGTGATAGCCCTGCTAGAGGACAGCTATACCAAAAAAGGTGGAGAAAACAACAGAAATAATTGCATTAAGCAATCCTACCTACTGGTCCCACAACATTTCCCAATGCTTTGGCCAGCCTAATTAAAAGCCCCACTTGGTGATTATTTCATCACAAAAGAAGACTTCATTTCTTTCCATCTGTGTTTGCTTGATATTCTGCCTGGATCCTTTCCTTAACATCATCCTGTTAGATTCACCACTGTAAAGTTGTACAAAGAGCTATAAAACCATCACACCATGTGTTTGCATGTCACTATGGGAATGAGTTGTTGCTGCACACAAACTAAGAGTTGTTTGAGTGTGGAAATCATGGATATTTACAACTTTATTAGCAGTTTCACATCTCTGTTGTCACAAAAGGAGGACACTTGCTTTTAATATCCCAGGCCTATCCCACTGAAAATATGCAAGGTTAAATGTGACCAGGAGTTAGGAGGCAGATAAAGCATGGCATGAGGCAGACAAGTGTGGAGCTGTGCTTCTATTTGCTCAGCAAAGCTGTTTGGAGGATGTCATTAAATTGACAGTTTGTTGCTGATGGTCATTGCTTAGGTATCCTATATTTGAGCAACTGGACTATTCAAGGGTGCCATAGCTCAGGAGTGAAGTGAAAGACAAGTAAAACAGGTGGGACTTAAGCACTTTATACTTTCAGGCAAGTGCTAGAGTTGTAACCAGGCAAAGAATTGTATGTTTGAGAGCAGAGCAATGAAGTAGGCTTAGAACAGAAGAGATGTATACAGGGGGAGAAAAGAGGCAAGGAGGCAGTTATCACCTGTCCCTCTGCAGGCTCAGTATTTGGATTATAGTGTAGAAGTGTGATCTTGTAAGACAGTGGGCACCTCTGCCCACCCACCTTCAGTAAGAGCAGAGCCATGCCTCGTGTCTCCTCATGAATCTGATGCAGCCCAAGAGCAGGTAGGCACAGTTCTTCACATCCTTTGTGTAGCACTCCCCAGGTCCTCTCTGAGTAATGTGCAGGAGGATCCCAAGACTTGTCTTTGAGTTCTGATAACAGAGAAGGCTGTTTAACACATTCTAGACACTGAAAGAAAGCATTAATTTAAGATATAAGTTTCAAGAGATCTGGGGGACACAAATCTACAGGGAGTCAGCAAGTGCTGTGGATGCTCTCCACCTCTGAAAATTCTGCTCTACACCTGGAAAGAAATGAGGCAGATGCAAAGGGGAAGGTAATTCCCCTTCATTGGTTGAATGGGGTTCCTCCTACTATGTTTTGTCAGCTGACAAGAGTGGATATCCTTGACATAAGGTGAGCAAGGATGATTTTCACCTTTTACTTTTGCAACTTGGCTGATGAAGGAAGAACTTAATCCCTTCCCCATACAGAAGAGAGAGACTCTGTTCTACAATGCAGCAATCTCTCTGTGAGGGTGTCAGGCCTTCATTTCTACCAGAGGGCAGTCTAGCTCTAAATAAAGTTGGACACTTTTTTAGTGAAATACCTGACTTCCTCTTTAAAATGCACTATGGACTCAGAGAGCAAAATGACAGGCTTGAAAAATGTAAGCTGGTCCCTGAACAGAAAAAGCCTTCTTCCCCCCTACCCCTTCTCCAGCAGAGGGGATCTACAGCTGGATAAAAAGAGATTCCAGGCATAACAGTATTACCTGCCTGAGATTAAGAAGAAAATGTCCTGCTTCGCTAGTCATCTCAAACCAGTTTCTTGCTTTGAAACAAGCAGAGATTTAGAATGCAAAGGCCATGAATCTGAACTGCTGATGAAGTTCAAATGACACATTTGTCACTAAGTTTCCGACAGAACTTTTCTTGGAAAAATAAAGATCATAAATACCCTGATACACAGTTTACCAATACAGGCAAAAGATTATGCAAATTGGATTCTATTCCAGACCTCGAAATCTGTGGCAAGTCATTATATACAGCACACTGATAAGCTGTTTGCATAGAAAATACTTCATCATAATTATTTATCCTCCATGTTTGCTTGCTTGGGTTTTTTTACGCACCCAATTGAAAACTGGAAACATTTAGTGACGTGATTTAAAAAAGTCAGAGAAAACAGTTGGCAGAAATGATTATTAAAGTACAGTCAAATGTGAATGGCTTACACTCCCCTCCCTGCTGTTGGTCTCTATTACCTTCTCATGGATGGATAGGAGATTGCTGCCACTAGGGCCTTTGTTTACTTACCTATATAACTTGTAGAAGGTAAGTTTTCTTATACTCCTCTGTGGTTAGAAACAAGAGACCAGCTCATCAGAGCTGTGAATGTTCAAATGGATAGACCAATTTTCCAACAGGACAAAAACCCCTCATCTTCACTGGACTTCAGAAGAATCTTATTTTTACTGATATTTTCTCTAGAATACTGTTTTTTCACTACCAATATGGTATTTTTTCTTGGTGTGCTGTATTCTTTCACATTTGTATTTTTGTGTAAATTTTAGCAAAGGCAAAATTTTGAATAATATCATTATGCCACAGGCCAGAACATCCCATCTCAACTCTATGTTTATCACATGTAGTATCATGTTTAGATTAATGATACTTTTTTTTTTAATTCTGAGATTACATATTTGTTTATGCACAAAGTTATTTTGGATTGTGGAACCATATGAAATTCAAGGTGCAATTGCTATTCTGGATAATGCAGGTATATTGCTAAGCCCTGAAATACTTGACTTAGGGGTAGT